CCCTGTCTTCCACTTCCAGTGCTGCTGCGTGGTCACAGGGGCCCTCTGGGGCCACACCTTCTTGCTTCTCAGAAGAAGCTGAATAACTAATTTGGTGTGAAATTTCCCAATGTTCAAAAATGGGCAACAAGGTGAGTTTAAAGACACGTGAGACTCTGCAGGCCAAAACAGGAGCAGTCTGTGGGCTGCCAGTTTGCTCCAGTGGTCTAGCCCAGTATCACCTGATTTGACAGATGAGGAAGCCAGGCACCAGAGACTGGCCATGGGCCCAGGGTCACACTGAAGATTGAACTGTCTCCAAAAGGACATTGAAAGGAAATCTGAGAGGACCCTTTACTGGGCCGGTTTTAAAGCAGTGTCTTGGAGCCCACGTTGTTCTTCAGTAGCCAGCCGTGCTCTACCCGAGTCCGCACACCTTCCTTAGCCCCTGACTCTCCCTGGGCTCTTGTGCCAAAGCTGAGGAAGGGTGATCGCAGCCTGAAAAGGCCATGGCGTTTCCCTGTCCTGCACCAGCTTTAGAGCACTGCTTTCACATGTGACATGTGGCCGTGCACCTGCTACGTCTGCCCAGCATCTGCCAGCCACAGTCGTCCTTCCAGAAGCCAGCTTGTGCTTTACTAGGACTTGTCCAGGTGTCAGCTCAGCAGCCCGTGGCTTCAGGACCCTAGCTCACGTGCCATTCTTCAGTCTGTGGGGCCACTCAGCATAAAGTGAACATCCTGTCATTCATTCCTTCGGTATAGACTTGTGATGGCTTGTAGATTGGTGCCTTCCTGTGTCTGTAGAGACAGAAGGCAGTATCTCAGAGTCCCAGCAAGTTGTTATGCTGCGATCAGGTCACAACCCTGCCTTGGCACTGGGGGAACAGTTTGGGAAGACTGTACTGCTTGATGGGCACGTGATCTCGAGAACCCTGCTGCCAGACTTCATGGCCCCACTCTGCCATTTTCTAGATTATGGTGCTAAGGACGTGTTATTTAATCTCTGTCTCAGCTTCCTTGTTTGCTTCATGGGGTGAGTGGGAGGAGCATGTGAAGCATCGGGAGCTGGTCCTGTACTGGCCGTGTCTCTGTGATAATAGCCACCTCGATGATAGGGACGATTAAAGATGCCACTTACGTTAGCAGTGGGCTGGCCACAGAAGTCATCAGGCGTTTACTGTGAGAAGTGTGAGACGATGTTAAAACTAGAAGGACTGTCCCTGTTTCGTAATTTCTGTATAGCACATGTTGTTGAATTACCGTCTGTCAAGAACGTGGAACAAGTGCATGTCCGCTGTTTTCCCCCTGCAGACGGCGCTGGCTCTGGCCATTGCCCAGGAGCTGGGCAGCAAGGTCCCTTTCTGCCCAATGGTGGGGAGTGAAGTTTACTCCACGGAGATCAAGAAGACCGAAGTGCTGATGGAGAACTTCCGCAGGGCCATTGGTGAGTGCCGCGTCCTGCTGGTGCCTGCGCGGGCTTGTTCTCAGCTGCCTCTTCCTTGAGAAAATGCCTCTGGGGCTGGTATCTGGGGCACTGCTTATTTTTTTTTTTTTGACACTGTTCGCATTTTTGCAAACAAAACAAAGCCCCGGTTTTTCTAATGGAAGTGCTTTAGCAGCCAGCAAATGTGGGCCCCAACTATTGGCTGGGGTTCTTCACCTGATGAAATAGATTTTGGCTATTAAAGTGATGTTTTTTAAAAAACAAATCATTTTCCCAGCAGCCTCATTGTGCTCTTAGAGATGACTGTCCACTGAAAAGATTTTAAACTGAAGCAAACAGCAGCGTGGCGTGCTGTCAGAACGCCCGGCCAGGATGCCGAGCATGTCGCGAGCGAGGAAGCCGTGTGGGACGGCCGAGCCTCCAGGCTGTGGTGCCGAGGCGCAGGGCCTGGGGCTGCCCTGTGCTGAACAGCCCTTCACTCCCCAGGGGGAAGTTCTCAGTCTGTGTTCTGCCTCCAACTAAACAGTCTTGTAAAGTTAAAAACTTGCCTCCGGTTGCCCAACTGGTGAGTAGCACTGTCATCTGAAGCTGCACTTGTCCGACTCGGGAGCCCATCCTCTGACCACATGCTGTGCACAGGACGTGGCCGCCCGCCTGAATATTTACCTCCTGCCAGCCTCCTGGGCTTCTGGGGCATTCATCCGGCCTTCTTCCTGCTGGTCTGGCTCTGGGGGAGTCCTAGTTTCCCTCAGACCTACTTGTCAAAATAGCTTATTCCTTGTAAACTATTAAAAAAATATTTGCTGTGACTGCACACATGGGAGTCTATCTCTAGGATGTACTTGCCTAAGTTACAGGTTATACACTTGTTGAGTGCTTGTACCATTTTACCTCTGTTGTGTCCTTGTCAGAACTAGGTAAGTATTCTCAAGAAGGACACTTACTAGAAAACTTCAAGGAACTTATGAAAGTTTGAGAAGGAGTGGATTTGGGGGGAGGGTGGAGCTCAGTGACAGAGCACATGCTCATGTGCTTAGTATGCACGAGGTCCTGAGTTCAATCCCCAGTCCCTCTATCAAAAAAATAAAATAAAATAAAAAAGTAAATAAACCTAATTATTGCCCCTCCCCCCAAAAACCCTAAAAAAATAGTTCTAAAAAATAAATAAAATTCATAAAGAAGAAGTAGATTTGTTTAAGCACAGAATCCTTGCTCTCAAGAATGCTGAAGTCTGGTTTAAAGTTCTGGTCATGCAGGGCCTTAGGCCATGATCAGGGCTTTGGATTTTGTGCTGAGTGAAAGGAGAAGAGAGGAGCTTCGGTTTTATGAAAGCCCCTCTGGCTGGGTATGGAGAATGAGGGCAGAAGCAGGGAGACCATGAAGAGTCTGGGTGGGAGACGGTGTGGCTTGGACTCGGGTGGTGGTGGTCCAGGCGGTAAGAAGTAGTTGGCTTCCAGGTTCAGTTGGATGGTGGAGCCGACAGGATCCCTGAAAGATTAGACGTGGGGCTAAAAGGGAGGAGGTGCAGGGGAGCCCTGTCTTTGCTATTGTGGTGGGGAGTGAGGGAGGAGCAGAGAGCGCCTGGGGAGTGTGTGCCATGGGTGTAGCGGGTGGCGTTTGTCCCTGTAGCCCCAGTTCCTGGGAGCCAGCGGCGGAGGGGTGCTCAGTGAAGTTTTTCTGAGTGAGAGGAGGGGGCGCTGTTCGAAGCAGGTAGAAAACAGGCGTTTGGCAAAAGAAAGCTAGCCCTCAGTTTGTTTATGGTCGATAGATGTTGTCTGACTTATACGGTGTTCTTGAAGAACTTGTGAGTTGGTTGCTGGGATTTAGAACTTGGGTGATGTCACGTACTGTGGAGGACGCTCTTGTTCCCACACAGCAGCAGCAGGCCAAGCGGAGCAGTCCTTGGCGCCGGCCGGGCCGCACCAGCTCGCCCAGCCTCCGTCTCGTGGGACCTGCTCTGCTGTGACGTGCCTGCCAGGCCCTGTAAGTCCTGGACTTAGGGACTTCGGTTCTAAACCAGAGACTCTGGGCTGTGTCTGGCTATGTGTTGGAGTTTTCTAACCTGCGAAATATTTCTTACTGGAAATATTTTTTTACTGTGCAACACTGGATTTTTTGGTGCCTATTTTAAACTGAACTATAACATACATGTAGAAAAGTATGTAAAAGTACCTACAGGTTAAATAATAATGAGGTGAACGCTCATGCAGTCACCTTTTAGCTCGGTGCAGAGCACAGCTGGTGCCACAGGCTTGGCTTGTGCCCTCCCCGGTCACCGCCCCTCGGCCCCTCGCATCCCAGAGTGTGAGCGGCGTGGCGGTCAGAACGCTGTCCACCCGCCTGCGTCCTAGGCGGTGTGGCTTAGTTTTGTCCTTTTTAAACTTTACCTAAATGGAACCTACTTTCGGTGCTGTGTCTCGTTTCTTTTCCAGTGTCTGTCTTTGTGAGGTTCAGCCTGTGTCATTACATGTAGTGTTGTCCTTGGACTTTCGTATTATAACTGGGATAATGGTGGAAATGCCTCACAGGACCCTCTTCATAGTTTAAAACCTTTCTGGGTACTTTTCAAAAGGAGAGTGTAGCTCAGTGGTAGAAGTGCAGTGGTCTTGGGTTCCATCCCCAGTACTTCCATTTAAAAAATAAATAAATAAATCTAATTACCTCCCCCTAGATTTAATGAACATGTGGCCGAGATTTTATCTCATCAATTAATGAGATAAAAAGTAAAATGTTACAATTGATTTAAATATCTGAATACTTTTCAAATGTATTTTCATTTATTTAAAAAATACTTTTCTGACATTGATAAAAGATGACAAAACTGAACTTTACATGAACTCACATGTTTGGGTTGGTTAAAGTTAATGCGAATGCTTTAAAGTGTGAAAAAGTAGAGATACATTTCCTGGGCATCTGTTTTGTGATTTGCCATTGGGGGGGCGATGCAGTTCCTTTGATGGTAGCAAGGTGAAGAGAAATTTCTTGATCCTGCCACAGAATAAAAAGGCAGGCCATTGACTGTCTTCAAAAAGGAACCGTTTCCATCTTCCTCTGCCTTTGATTTCCTGTGAAGTGGCAGAGGGGGTGGGGAGGAAGCAGTAAGCTGACCAGAAATAAAAAGCAAGGAGTCTGTGCTGCTTCCTTGACGTGATGAAGGTCCCTGTCAGGGATTTGGAAACCTGAGCCAGCAGATGAAACCTGTGTCGTGCACGTAGTCCTGCCAGAGAGAGCGCCCGCCCGGTCCCTTTCCTGGCTGACAGGGGCTTCATTGTCTGTCTCCCTCATCCTCTGCCTGCTTGTCAGCACGAGCAACTTCTAAACAAATGCGGGGCCAGGGAGAGACCGGCATGCCTTCCTTCCCCCACTCAAGGAATGTCATGTCACAGTCATCTACCCGTAAATAAGCAGTGCATTCCATCTGAAGGAACTTATCTCTGCGGAATATTAAAGTTTTGATTTGGAAAGAAAATCAAAGTTCACTTCACAAGTACAGAATTTTCCAGGTTTGTCACAATCTTCTGGTACATTCGTGTTTGGAAAATTTTTGTCTTGATGTTCAGAAACTAAGAATTTGGTAAGGTAAAAATGAGATGCAGCCTCTCTCTTGGGGCTATTCCAAGACTTCCATTTGTGGACTATCGGACTGAATGAAAGTAGAGTAAAACTTTTCCTTAACTTTAATATCTGAGAGAGTCTTTGTCCCGATTGGGTTTCTGGGGAAAGCAGGCAGCCAACCGAGTGATAAGATAATGGCCGACTTTGAAAGTGGGAAGTAACTGAGTGTCTGACACCACGGGTTGTGTTTCTTTGTGTCACTGGGGTATCTCCCTATCAGGACAGAGGTGCCTTGAGGGTGTGGACACCCAAAGCACGTCAGGGCTCCCCGCCGTCAGAGTTGCTCACGTCTTCACGTCGTGAGTGGAACAAAGTTCGTCGTTCTTCGGATGAGTGGTTCTCAACTAGGACTGTTCATTGGGATCATCTGGGACCTTTACGCTTATGGTGACGGCAGGTCCCCGCCCCCCAACCCGAGACTGTGCGTGCAGCCAGGGCGGGAGGCGTTGTGGGTGCCCACCAGGCGAGTCTGCAGGGTGAGCGCCGCGGCTGGGTGCAGGAGAGGCGGCGCTCCCGCAGCTCGTGCCAGCCGTGTTCTTCCTCTGCCTGGGCTCACTGGTGCGATTTATCTAAGTGTATCTTCCTAAAGTGACTCGATAATGTTGGTGCATGCACACAGAGGAGTGCAAGAACAAAACGCAGATCTCAGCGGTTATCACACATTGAAAACCCATGAAACAGCACCCACTCAAGAGGGAGTATTGCCAGCACCGCAGAGTACCTGTGACCCAGTCGCCATCCTTCTTTCCTCCCGTTAACGACTGTCTTGTTTCTAACATCACAGTGTAGCTGGCCTGTTCCTGAACTTGAAGCAAATGCAGCCGTGCAGGATCTGTCCTCCCATTTGTGAGATTCATCTGTATGGTTGCATGTGGCGATAATTCTTTCTTGTTGCTCCGTGGTACTGCTGTATGAATGTACCGCAGTGCACATACGTCTTCTGCTGCTGATGGACGTTGGAGTCTCCCAGTGTCTGTCAGTTACTGACAGTGCTGCCGTGACCATCGCGTGCTGGGTCCCTCGGTGCCCAGGGGCACCCCTGCCTCGTGGGCGCGCTTCTCGGAGTTGGAGTGCGGGGATCACGGGTGTTCTTGTGTTCGGCTTTAGGAGATAATTCCATGTTGTTTCTAAACCAGTGTCCCACCAGCAGCGTAAACCTTCCTGTTATCCTGCAGCCTCATTAACTCTTGGTATGGTCGATCGGTCTTTTAAATTTTAGGTTGTAGAGTAATATTTCATTGTTTTTTCTTTTTTGTCTTATTTTGGAAAATTTCAAGTGTTCAAAAAGTAGTCCAGTGGTATGATGACCTCCCCCATGGCCCCACCACCAGCTTCAGCTCATAGTCGATCTGGATTGATTTATAGCCTCCATTATTCCTCTCCCAGATTATTTTGAAGTTAATTGCAGACCCGTTTTCTTACTTATAAATGTTTCAGTATGTATCTCTGAAAAATAAGGACTTAAAAAATGCCATTATCACACCTAGAAAAAATTAACAATAAATTCTTTAATATCATTGCATCTGCTTAGTGTTCAAATTTGCAGTTGTCTCAGAGTGTCGTGGTGTTTTTTCTTCTATGGAATTGTTTTAATCAGGTTACAAATAAAGGCCTACATGGTAGATTGATTGGTATCTGTCCTATTGCTTTTTAATCTGTGTATTCACTTTATGTTTCTGTTTCACCTTTGGGCAAACTATAGATGAGATAGAGACCGAGGTCACAGTCACCTGGCAGAGGGGTGATGAGGTCAGGGGGCTCGTGTCAACTGGAAGGGAGAGGGCAGGGCAAGTTTTTGGGAAGGGCTGGCAGCGAGCGGGGCCCAGCGGTGTGGTAGGACCACACAGGTTCCTGGAGCCCAGAGACTCAGACGCCAGTCCTCACTCTGCCTTGCAGAGGAAAGGACCCTTCGCCTCGCCGCTGGGGCTGATGCCTGTGTCTGTGCAGTGGACCCAGAGTCCTCCGCGGCTGCTTCGCGGGCTGGGTGAGGTGAGCCGAGCCGTGGCAGCCACACCTCCTGCAGGAGGGCCACTCCGACAGCTGCGCAACCGCTGCAGCCTTGGCTCCGGGCTTGTGTCTGCCAGCTTTCCCTTCCTGCACATCTTCACCCAGTCTGACCCTGGGATGTTTCCCTCCTCACTCTGAATTGGTGGCAGGCACAGTGACTTCGATGGCTTTCTTGTTGAAGTTTCTAGAATCCTCTGAAAATAGATTTAATAGCCATTAACGTCCCTGTGACGTGGCTGTACTTTCACAGTACGAGGGAGGCTGACTTGTCAGTTCTCGTGACGTGGAAGTTTTCTGGCCAAAAAGGCTATTGAAAGAACGAGAGGGAGGGGTGCTTTTCTCACCAGGACTCACCTGCCATCTCTTCCAGGGCTGCGGATAAAGGAAACCAAGGAGGTCTACGAGGGCGAGGTCACAGAGCTCACCCCGTGTGAGACGGAGAACCCCATGGGCGGCTACGGCAAGACCATCAGCCACGTGATCATAGGGCTCAAGACGGCCAAGGGGACCAAACAGCTGAAAGTGAGTGCGCTGCGGGCCGTCCTCTTCCGCAGGCTCTCCCCGCGCTGGACGGCCTCTGCCCAGCTTCCTCCTCTGTGCGCTGGGGACGGCGATTGGTCCCGGGCTGTTGGAGGATGTCAGGTGTGGGCCGGGCTGGCACACCGAGAGCTCAATAAGGATGGCTCTTCCTTTCCTGCTGACGCCGAGGGAGTTGTGTCTGTTAGGACGTGAGCTGTGTGGTGCCACCCTGTGTGCCACGCCGTGGCCGTGTGTCAGAGGCCTCCCTGACCCTAGGCTGATAGTTCAGTTCTAGTGCTCATGCTCCTGGGTAGAGGCAGCACTGAGTGATCCAGTGAGGTGGAGAGCGATGACGGTTGGACCTGGGGGCCCAATGCAGTCCTGGCGGCGGTCCCTGTTGTGTGCGGGGGCTTCAGTGGTGGGTTCTGCTCAGGCCGGGGCCCCGTGGACAGTCGTGGTGGTGGCAGTGGGGGAGGCCCTGGGTGACCCGCTCACTCCTGTCTTGAAAGCCTTGAGGGTGTGACCCACAGGGCCACCGGGGGAAGAGTCTCTGCTGCTCACAAGCGGTGTGGTCTTCAGCAGTGACTTTGTCTCTGAGCGCTGGTCTCTTTACATGGGAATGGTGATTGCGTGTCTCACAGTTATTGTAAGGGTAGACGTTGTAGCTTTGGGTGTGGCACCCGGTTACCCAAGAAGCAGTGGCTGTTGGTGGGGTGGGGTGGGGCGACCTGGATTGCAGCTTTGCCTTTTTACTGAGTGACTTTGTCTTCACAGCTCTCATTCACTGTATGTGTCAGGCCCTGGGCCAAGTGCTTCTGCAAATCTGTGTGCATTTGTGGGTGTGTGTGTGCGCGTGCGCATATGTGCGGGTGTGATTTCCCTCTTTGTACAGATAAAGGGACTGGGGCCCCTGAAGAGGTTAAGGGGTTACCAAGTACCATACAGCTGCTTTGGGGCAGAGTGGGCTCCGAGTCCCACTGTGCAGTCTGCCCTCCGACTTGCTGTGTGACCTTTAGAAGTCAGTTGAGCTCTCTGGGCCTCCATTTTCCCATCTGTAAATTGCGTTGGAGTGACCATATAACTTTTCCATCTTTGCTCTCCTCTGTAGTTTTATGGCTCTTTGATTCTGTAGGGTGGTTTCTTGGTTACTGCTTTATGGAGCTCATAAAAATGCTACTTTTTCAAAGGACCATTTTTCTTTCTCCTGACAGGGTTTCCATCTCAGGAGCTTGCTCTACAAATACCTCTCTTAAACCTCTTCCTTGTCTCTCCCATTCTGTATTAAGTAGAGTTCTTAGTAGGACCTGCCACCTTTCCAGTAGTTACATATTTAGTCAATTCATTTGGGAAATTAACCAATATAAAAATGCTTGAGGCAAAAAAAAGTGTACCCTCCAATGTAGGACAGATAAAATAAGGCATGCATACAGTTTAGATTTCAGCAATCGGTTAAACTGCTTTACACAGTTTCTTTGAGAAAACAAGAGGATGAATGTTTTTCTTCCCTAGTGGGTGCGCCATAGCTACTACTCCTAGCACGTGAACACAGGCAGAGGAGCTGGAATGCGGGGTGGGTGTGTAGGTGTGAAGGGCCTCCCTCCTCCCAGCCCCGGGTTAGGCCTGCCCCCTCACCAGGGAGGCAGAGCCCCATGCTCCTTCTATGGTTACTCTTTGTAACAACTTCACTGAGATCTCATTTTAAGTAAAATTCACCCATTTTAAGTGTGTAACTTAAGGAATTTTAGTCTGTTTACAGAGTTGCACAGCTGTCACCACAACCCAGTTTTAGAACATTTTCGTCACCCCAGCAGAAACCTCAGGTTCATCTACAATAGCTCCCCATTCCCGCCTCCAGTCCCTGGCGACCACTGATCTACTTCCTGTTTCTACGTGTTTGCCTTTTCTGAACATTTCGTGTAAATAGAATCATACAATATATGTTTTTTGTGTTGGCCTTTTTCACTGAGTTCTGGGTTCTTACTCTTTAATTTTGTTTGAAACAAAGCCGAGTTTTCTTCATGTATAAAATGTGGATTTTAACTGAGAGTAACAGCTCCCCTTGAAGTTTAACTGAGAGACACTTAGTTCTAAATACTGACTCCTTACAAAAGATGCTCTCCCAGAATATTGATCACCTCAGGGAGCGTGAAGCAGGGTGACCAGAGAAGGGTGACAGTTCCCACAGTGTGCTACTTCCCTTCCTGAGGGTGTAAGCAGGTGGCCCCAGGGATCCTGGCAAACACCAGGATCTGAATTGAGTGGCCTGGGGGAGTCCCGGTTTTGTGCTTCCTGTGAACGTACACGTCTGATCACGCCTGGGTGCTGTTACAGATGAGGAAACCCAGGCTCAGAGAGCCTTGTCCAAAACCCCAGGCCTGCAGGGTGCCAGGCACGGAGAGCATGCAGGTTCTGAGAGTGCTTCAGAAACATCCATCCCCGCTCGAAGTGGAGAGAGCAAAGGATTGAGGGGGGACAGCAGTCTCAAAACGGGGTGTTAAGGCCTGTGGTCTCATGGACAGTGTGGGCCCTACCCGGGAGCAGTCAGAGCCACATTTGCCAGTTTGCAACCTCAGGAGTAAAAAGAGGACGGGGCATAGGCCTCCCCTTGTGCCCCTCTCCTGCCCCAGAGCCAGTCTCACACATCCTAACACACACACGAACTCCTCCATCTGGTCATTAGCCACCTCCAGTCTCTTATAGGAAGCTGCCTCCCAGTAGTATGTCAGAAATCAGTACAGTATGTGTTGTAGTTCTCTGGTTTATTTTATTTTATTTTATTTTATTTTTTAGCTGGACCCCAGCATTTTTGAAAGTTTGCAGAAAGAACGAGTAGAGGCTGGAGATGTGATTTACATTGAAGCCAACAGTGGGGCCGTGAAGGTAATGCCACGAGGAGTCCCAGGTGGCTGGGAGGCGGCTTGCTTTTTTCCGGGGATCCTGGGTGTGCGGGGAGCAGCGCTGGTGTCAGCTGTGATGCCGAGAGGTCAGCAGTTGCCCCCTTATGTTTAGTCAAGTTTGCTTTCCCTTTGTCTGCATTCTTTAACCTTCTCATGATTAAAACAGACAGTCCTGTTAGAAAAATACTGAAACCTGCTTAGAGGGGAGAATGGTGAGAAAGTGAAACAAGTGTAGTCATTTTCAAATTGAAATGTGCAGGGTATTTAGTCTTCCTTTTATCTCTTTGGTATTTTCTTCCCAAGATACATGCATGCGGAAAGGAATGCTGCATTAGTTGGCGTCCCTTTTATATCTGATTTTCAGTGTCCTGTATAGAGTTCCTCACTGTTTAATGGATGAGCATAATACTTCATCTCATACGATAAGTCACCCACCTACAGAAGAGTCTGAACAGCCCCTCCGTCTCGGTTAATCTACTGGATTTGCCCTTTATCGGGAATTGCATGCAGTTAAAAGAAAAAGAGGGGGAAGGATTCTGGGAGAAAGTATCGGGTGTTTCTCAGCAGGTTTTGGAGCCCAGCGATGAGCAGATAGGTTCTTCTCTTGGCAGCAAGGGAGCAGGGAATGTTTGGAGTTTGTCAAGGCGGCTGTCAGGCCACAGTTGGGACCCGAGACTTTTATCTCACCTTGCGCTGTGCCACTTGGGGACTTGGCATTGGAACTTGCCAGACACTCCGGCTTCTCTTTCTGCAGAGGCAGGGCCGGTGTGATACCTACGCCACAGAATTCGACCTTGAAGCTGAAGAGTACGTGCCCTTGCCCAAGGGGGATGTGCACAAGAAGAAGGAGATCATCCAGGATGTGACCTTGCACGACTTGGACGTGGCCAACGCCCGGCCCCAGGTGCTGCCCAGCCCGTGCCCCGGGCCCCGCGCCCTGCCTGGTGCAGGAGCCTTCTGCGTGCTGGGGGCTCTGGAGTGAACTGTCAGTCTTGCTGCCGCTTCCGAGGGCAGACGGTCCTTTTCTGTCTGTAATGTTCAGCAATTAACATCGACATGAGCTACCAGGGACTCCTTTGTTCCAATTCAAAGGCTCTAGTCACAGATGGTTTCCTGTGCATTGTTCCCTCTCCCAGCCCAGCCTCTGGCCCGAGCTGGCCGGCTTCTCCTTGGCTCCTCTCCAGCACTGGGCTCGGGCCTGGGGTTCTCTGGGTGCTAATGCGGAGGGCAGGAGGGTGCTTTGAGCCCTTCGCAGGATTCCAGGAAGCCTGACAAAGCTGTGTCTGCTCGTCATGCTGAGTCGAAGGTGGACACTTGTGTCCAGACTAATGAAATGTGGGACCGTATAGCATGACTTTGTGCCTCCTCTGGGAAACGTGAGATTAAAAGAACCCGACTCTTCCCTGCTGGTAGAGAGTTACGGTTTGGCTTCCTCTTTGTCCTAAAAGAGGCTGCTCTTACCTAACAAGGAATAGGCTTTCTAGCCTGAAATTTGACCTGTGGGTGTTTTGTCCCTTGGAGCCTTGGCCAGGAGGTTGCTGAAGAAGCACCTTGGACCAGCAGGTCCCCTCAGTTGTAGAGTGGCTTCCGCAGACCAGCCTGCCAGGTGCCAGCCGCCAGATGACGCCAGCGGGCTCCGCTGATAGTCACTTTGGGTCTTTGGGTTTTCTGTGATTTAGGGCTCTCTGATTTTGAGTTTCCTCCTCTTTGAAAAGGACATGATGTTTCCCACCTGGCAGGGCTGTTTTGAGGATCAGATGTAAGTGCTCAGGAACCTTTGCTACCTTTCACTGTTGAACATTCAGTGAGCATCTGTGTCAGGCCTGGAAGCAGCAGGGGATCACACAGTGCTGGGCTCTTGCTGCCCCTGCAAGAGGGGCTGGCAGCAGGGCGCAGGCCGCTGGTGAGCCTGGTGAGGGTCAGCCGTGCTGCAGGGCCGGGCTCTGCGTGCTGAGGGGCCCCAGTCAGGGCTCGTCACTGCGACCATGACCGTGTCCCATGAGGAGCAGGAGGGGCGAGTAGGTGCATGGCAGTCTTTGACAACCGCCTGTCCCTGGGGCCTGGAGCAGCGGGAGGGGTTGGGGTCAGACGCCCCATAGAGGAGCCTCCCAGGAAAGAGAAGGTGGTTCCTGGCAGGGAGGCTCGAACTGAGTCCTGAAAGAGCTGGGTGCCCAGGGAAGGGTCACCAGTGCTGTGGAATGAAGTAATTTGGGACTGGAAAGAGACACAGCTGGCATGGGGGTTGGGGTGGGCCCCATGGAGCTGGTACTTCCCAGGAAGGCATTTTGTTTGATTCTGACAGGTTAGGGGAACCTCTCACAAACTTCGTGTTTAGAAGCTTCTCAGACTTTCCATGGAGGTGCCCAGGGTCCCTGCACCGCAGGCCCCAGGCGAGCTGACAACGGGCAGCAGTGGGCTGGGGGCGGCGATGAGGCGTGTGCCTGCCTTTGACAGCGGGGCTGACTCCTGTCTCCCTTGTGCAGGGCGGACAGGACATCCTGTCTATGATGGGCCAGCTCATGAAGCCAAAGAAGACAGAGATCACAGGTGAGGGAAGAGGCCGGGCCGGGCCTGGGGAGGTGCCTCCTGCCCTGCCAGACAGCGTGTGGCCATGCTCAGCGTCCTCGCGCTCGGCCCTGGGACGGGGGCGGCCCTCTGCAGCACGGCCCCGCTCCGGCGCGTCCTCAGGCTTGGCGGGGGTGTGGCGGCCCCTGCGAGCCTGCAGGTCTCTTGCCAGCCGGCGCACCCCTCTTTCCCCTAATCGCCTCACGCCTCTAGCTTTGTCACCTAAAACGGTAAACATGAAAGCCCTGTCTTCAGTCCCAGCCAGGGGTGTGGTCGCAGCCCTTCTGCTAGAGATGCCCAGGGCAACTCTGGTTTCCCTGCATTTTAGCACCGTGTGTCCGGCCCTGCCTACGGCTGCAGTGGAAGGCGCTGGGCTTGTGAGCAGCTGCCTCCTGCTGATCAGACAGGCGCTGGTTTGGAGAATGAGCGGTTATTCAGCTTTTGAGAGGTTGGCTCCTCTTAGAACTCTGAGATGGGGCCATTCCTCACAGGTTTCCTCCAGAGAGGATTCTGAAAGCACCCTGTTCCTTCCTCCAAGCATTTGATTGAAAGTTAATTAACTGAAGCTTTGTCATACAGGGCCAAGAGAAAGGGTCATTAACGAGTATAGAGCAGGGACATTTGCATATAAAAACTCACGTCTTCCAGAGCTCCCAGACTGGAACCAGGCAGCGAGCCGAGTTGGGTGGGTGTGAGTAATAAAGCAGGGTGGTGGGTGTGACAGCCTGGGGAGTGCACACCCTTGTGAGGACAGGCGGAACGCTGCAAAACCCATTTACAGACTTAACGAGACACATCTTTGGGGGCCCTGCTCATGTTGTGACTTTTAGGCAAGATCATCCCTACTCCAGGGGATGAAGCTGAAGCCTAGGGGGAGGGGGCCATAGACACCCAGGGCACACAGCCAGCAGTCAGGCCTGGCCCAGACTTGCTCTTAGACAGAAATCCGGGGTGCGGGGAGAAGAGAAGGGTGCCGGTCTCCCCGACCTGGTACTGACCCTGCCTGAAGCCTGGAGCGGGGCTGTAGATGCCTGGGGCCCACAGCCAGCAGTCAGGCCTGGCCCCAGACTTGCTCTTGGACTGAAATCCGGGGTAGGGGGAGAAGAGAAGGGTGCTGGTCTCCCCGACCTGGTACTGGTACTGACCCTGCCTGTCTGTGCTTGCTGACTCCTAGACAAACTCCGAGGGGAGATTAACAAGGTGGTGAACAAGTACATCGACCAGGGCGTGGCTGAGCTGGTCCCTGGAGTGCTCTTTGTTGACGAGGTCCACATGCTGGACATCGAGTGCTTCACGTACCTGCACCGGGCCCTGGAGTCCTCCATCGCTCCCATCGTCATCTTTGCGTCCAACCGAGGCAACTGTGTCATCAGGTACCATGGGGCCTTTCCGTCTTCCTTCTGGGCTCCTTGGTTCCCCCGGAATCACTTTGTCTAATGTCGTGAGTCGGGATGGGGGTGCAGGGCCGTCGTGTTCATTTCGAGGGAAAAACTCAGTGGCTTGACTTCATTCTACTGTGGTCACCAACGTGGCAGCCACCCTGTTCCTGCATGTGAGGGCCTCCCTGGGACGTCTGGGGTTCCGGTGGGGTGTGACTTGCTCACTTGGTTGGAGTGGCAGAGGTGATGTCTTTCTGGGGCACGACCTGCACTGAGGTGATCGCTCTCGCTCAGGACGAGGACTTGGGCATGTAATTCAGCTTTGTGTGGCAGCACCTCGTAGTCCCTCTTTGAATCCCTTCAGTGATGCTGTCTTGATAAGACCACCGCTTGTCATGGTCAAGATGTTTTCTGCAGTCTTCAAGGGAAGGCAGTTTGGACCAGGTCCTGGCCGGCCACCAGTGAGAGGAGCCCAGCTACCTGGGCAGCGTCTAGAGACCGGACACGTGCCTGCTGAGCCTGGCGCCCCTGCCGTACAGACCCTCCAGGCTTGCTGGACTTTGCTTTGGTCGGCCATCCTCAGCCTGGACAGATGGCGCCCCCTGCCGGGGAGCTCTGCCAGTAGACACCCCTTCCCCTTGGTGGGTAACCCAGCCCAGCAGAGTGAGGCCCACAGAGCCAGGCAGCTTGTGGCAGAACCAAGATCTCTTAGGATCAGAGTCCTTCTCTTAGCCTCATTCCATCTAGGGAAAAAGGGCATGGGAACGTGGCTTTGTCTCATAACCTGCTGCGTGGGACCTGGGAGGATTGGTCTCAGCCCGTCCAGATGGATGTGATGCAGGGCTGTTGGAGGTGGCAGTTTGTTGCTGCCAGACTGCAGCTGCCCACGGGCAGGGAAGATGCTCAGACTGTGGGTCTCTTTTCAGGGGCGTTGAGGTAACCCAGATGGGGACGGATGCTCTAGAGGAGGGCTTTGGTGCCAGGGCCTCGTGGGGAACTCATCATGGTGGTGAGGACACTGCTGTCACAGTAGCAGTGGTAACAGCGACACCAGCAGGTACTGAAGGCTTCTCCCCGCACACCAGGCATGCTGCCGCGCCCATCTCAGCTTAATGAGGAAGGGCCTCCTTCTCTTTGTTCGGACATGGAACTTGGCCAGGGCCCCATAGCTCAGAAGCAAGGCTGGGGTTTGAATCCTGAGCACTGAATCTGGTGTAGATGAGAATGATGGCATTTCTGGAATCCCTGCGCAGGTTTGGCAGTGTGCGGTCTGCTGCCCACCCCAGGAGGGAGTTGCTGAGCTTTAGTGCCGCTCAGACCCACGTCTGACCTCCAGCCCGAAAGGAAGCGGGGGTGGAAACTCGGTTACTGGAGGCTCTGTCTGCACCAGAAGCCGTGCAGAGCTCTCCGCGGGGGTCATCTTGTATTCCCAGGACCCTGACAACCCTGCCAATGGACGTTATCTCCAGACTCACCTGGGAGGGGAGGGGACCTGTGTGGGCCACATGCCTGGGGCCACCTGGCTGCTAGCCCTGCCGACTGGCTCTCCTGTGCTGCTTATGGGCTGTGACATGACAAGTGGCTGTGAAAGGGCAGGGGGTCCCCCTAGGGGCCCTGGAGGAGGTGGAGCTGCCCTGGCTTCTCCCTCTGCCACCTAGAGAAGTCTTTTCCTTTCGCCTGGGTCCTCAGCTACTAAAGCGGAGCTGGCCCTGACCCAGCTCCGAACACCAGGGAGGTGTCGTCTGTGGAGAGCAGGCCCTCGGGATTGAGGCGTCTTTCTTTGCAGGGGGTTTCTGTCCGCAAGTCGCTTTGTTGGGACCAGAGCGTCAGGACTTAAGGAGCAGTGTGGTCTCAGGTGCGACTCTGCGGGAGAAGACACCCTAAGTAGTGCTTTAAAAAAAACCCAGCTTTGTGGAGATAGAATTCACATAAAATACAGTTCATCACCTACAGCGTAAAATTCAGAGGTTTTTAGTATATTCACCAACTTGTGCAATCACACCTTAATCTGTTTCAGGAGATTTTTGTCGCCCCTTCAGAAGTCCTCTCCCCGTCACTAGTTACCCTGCCTCCCCCTCCCTGCCCCGCCCAGTCTCCCTAGCACCTCTCCACACAGCCCAGCAACAGGAGTCTTACTTTCGGTCCATGCACTTGTTTTTTCGGACGTTTCGCGTGAATGGGACCACACGATCTTTGGTCTTTAGTGCCTGGCTTCTTTCACCGAACACAGTGTTTCCAGGGTTGTCCACGTCGTGGCACGCGTCAGTGCTTGTGTGCTTTCTGAGGCTGAGTGGCATTCCAGAGCGCGGACTGTCGCACAGCACTCGGAACTGCCCATCAGGTGCTGGGCAGTGGGTCGGGCTGCTACTTCCTGGCTGTCGTGAGTAATGATGCTGTGAACACTTGTGTGTGAGGTTTTCTGGAGACGTGAGTTTTCTCTAAGAATGGAGTTGCATCTGACTTTTGCAGGAACTGTCGGGCTGTCTTGCACGGCAGCCGCACGTGCTCCCTGGCAGTGCGTGAGGGTTCCAGTTTCTCCCCTCCTCGACGTTGCTTGTTGCTGTCTTTTTTACTGTAAGCATCCGGTGGGTGTGACGTGGTGTTCGTTGTAGTTTTGATTCGCATCTCCCCGTTGGGTAATGATGCTGGGCTTTTTATTTCACGTGCTCTTTGGCCACTTGTGTATCTTCTTGGGAGAATCGTGTTACGATCTTGGTCTGTTTTTCACTCAGGTTGTCTGTCTTTTTACTGAGTTGTAAGAGCTCCTTACGTGCTTTGGATATGAGACCATTACCAGATAATGTGACTTGCAAATATTTTCTCCCATTCTATAGATTGTCTTTTCAGTTTCTTGACAGTGTCTTTTGACACACAAGCTTTAACTTTTGAAATAGTCCAAACTTTGTTTTTTTCTCGTTACTTGTGTTTTTGGCCTCATATCTAAGAAACCATTACCTCATCTAAGGTCACAAAGATTCACATATGTGATTGCTTCTAAGAGTTTTATGGTTTCAGCACTTAATTAAGTGCATGATCATTTGGAGTTGATTTTTGTGTGTGGTGTAAGGAAGAGGTCTGTCCTGCTTCATTCTTTTGCATGTCCCTGGCCCATTTGTTGAAAATACTGTTCTTTCTTCACTGAATTGTCTTGGCACCTTCATCCGAAAATCAAATGGCTTTCTTCTTAGCGCTCTTCTGTGTCCACCAAGCCAGGGTTCCCTGGACTTACGGGAGCTACCCTTTCCCTCACCCAGAGGGAAGGTCTTTACTGACTTCCTGTCAGTGGAAGAACTTTGTATCATCTGTCCCTGCAGTGAAAGGGTTACGTAAAGAATCGGTCAGACACTGATTCTCAGCCGGGACGTTTTACTTGTCACATGTGTGGGGCGCTGCTGGCGTCTAGTGTGTAGAGGCCAGGGATGCTGCAGAGCATCCTGTGACACACAGGACAGGACAGTCCGCTACAAAAAACAGCTTGCTCCAAAACATCAGCATGTCACACTGGAGGAACTCTGAGTCACAGTACGAGGAAAGTATTCACAGGAGAGCCAACCACGTTGCACGTGTGTAGATACGTCTACAGGATAAATTTCTGGAAGCACAGCTACGGTGCCTGCAGATACCCCGTATTGGAGTCCAAGGAGAATTGGGCTTGTGGCCTCACAACCCAGAACTACCTCTGGAAGAGGCACACCGATGACAGTTCTAGTAATTGTCAGATGGCATAGTGGTGCAGTCAATACAAGGCTGAGGCCAAAGGCAGAAATGGACTTCCAGGTACAAGAGTTAATCGCACTGTTAGCCAACGTGTAATTACTACTAGCAGTTTTAAGTTTAATGTGGCTGTTATGGCCACCTTGTCAAAAACAGTGACTGCTCTGGGCTGAGGACGCCCCCTGGTGTCACTGCCCCTCACAGGAACACGAGTGAACGGCAGCGCCTGTCCCCTGGCCCACTTAGCAATGTCACCGGTCCTTTTGTGCCTAACAGAATGGAGTTCCGGAAGCCATTTTTCACTAATATGTCGTCTGAAAGAAAACTTTGTACCTGACAAATTTCTAGTATGTCTTCAATTCCTGAAAAAAGCTTAGCAGTCTTTAGGCAGACTTTTTTCATCTTAATTTCTAGTTTTATGGACTGAAAACTGTAAGAACATTTTTAATTCATTCTTATATATTCTGTTCTTTTGAAGTTTTTTCTCTAATCTTTTTTCTTTAGACTTTTAATATTTGTTATTATGTCTGAATTGAAGGTGATTTATCATGAGTGATACAAAACTTGGGTTATTTTAAGATACAAACTGAGATCTTTCAAAGATTTCCCAAGAATTCCTGAGAGAATTCCCAAATAGGACTTAAAAAAAAAAAAAAGAAGGAAATCCATAGCCTAACCAGGAATTAAGTAACTAAAAAGTGAATGTGGTCTTTAAAGATTGCATTTGTGATGTGAAGGTTGCAGGTGTACCAGGGCTGAGACTGAATCACGACAGAATCCCACCTTTATAATTCTTCCTTTTTATTATTTTTAGAAATATTTGTTGGTGGAAAAGATTTTTTTCTAAAGCTATCTTAATATTTGTATTTATCTATGTCACTGTTTATTTGGAAAGGTCTTAATTATTTTTTAATATTAGTTAATAATGTAGCATTTTATTCTTTTTTTTTAACTCTAGTTTTATTTTTTGGGGGGGGATTGGTTTATTGTTGTTTGTGGGGGGAGGTAATTAGGTTTATTTACTTATTTTTCTTTTTGTTTTTTTAATGGAGATACTGGAGATTGAACCCAGGACCTCATGCATGCTAAGCAGGCACTCTATAAATTGAGCTGTACCCTTCCCCCATTTTCTTCTTTTTAGAATTGTGTTTAAGTATACAATTCAGGGGCATTAATTTGTTATATTCACAGTCTTGTGCAGTCATCAGCACCACCCATCTCCAGAACTTTTCCATCCCCCAAACAAAACCTCTGCTCCCATTTTCCCTTCCCCCAGCTCTGGTAACCTCTGATCTCTTCTGCCTTTGTGAATCTGCCTTTTCTGCATGTTTCCTATGCGTGGAATCATACAGTGACTGGCTTCTTTCACTTAGCGTGTTTTCAAGGTGCATCCTATTACAGCATGTGTCAGGACATTTTATTCCTGCAGTAATAAATACACATTTATATTTCAACTGACTGGATAGAATTTCGACAGTTTTTTTTTAACTGAAGTTATGTTTCTGGAATGTTTGCTTATATTTAAAACCAAGTATTCTGATATTAATGGTTAAATCCAAATGACCTGCCCTTGTTCTTTGCTGACCACAGAGTGCAGTCTGGTCAGCTTGGGGAGGCCAGAATTGGTGCTGCCAGGGGTCTGCTGCTGTGGCTCCCAAAGGCAGAGCAAGAGTCCCCGGGCCCGCCCCCTGGGCTTCAGGACACGGCTGAAGCCCCGTCCGGGTGCCACCGGTCTGCCCGGCACATGCCCTATCAGGCGGCTGGCGCTGCACAGCCTGGCAGGTTGGCAGGGCTCTGCTCCCAGGCTGCTCTTCCTCTGACTTGGCTGAGGATTCAGGAGAAAAACAGGCAAAGGACATGAGGGGACAGTTCCCAAAAAGAAAAAATAACTAATGAATATAAGGGAAAACATTCAAATGGTTCATTAGTAATCAAGGAAATGCAAGATCAGAGAATGTGTTACCTTCTTTTTCTAAACCATTAACGCAGCACACTCTAAGAATTAGAATACCCCGTGCCGGCTGCAGCGCGGTGGGGGCCGACCCCTGGTGTAGCCGCGTGAAGTAGGACATCGATCTGAGGAGATACTCAAGGCTGTGTCAAGCCCTGCAGGCGTTGCTGAGAAAACGTTCATGGCTTGTGCATAAAACTGTTCATCAAAGCATCGTTAGCAGCAATTGGAAACGACCTAAATGCCTAACAGCTTGCGTTAAGTAAAGGACTTGATGGGTTTTTAAGACTGAAGCAATATGGACAAAGGCAAAAAACACCTACGTGCTTAGTGTAATTTATGTAAATTTGGCAAACACCATTATTAATATTTTAATATGATTTTAGGTGGCTTTTCTTTCCCTCCTCCCCAAATCTCCTGTGGTGTTGATACTTGCCAAAATACTGAAGTTGTTTTCGATGCCATCTGAGTTAGTCTGCCCTGTGGTGCTGCTTCTGACTCTCACGACGAGAACTGGCTGGCTTGTCACTTTGAGTGCCTCGGCCGCGTTTCCGGTGTCCGGTTTCCCGTCTCAGGGGCCTGAGTGACGCGGTCCTTCCGGCCTTGCAGGGGCACGGAGGACATCACGTCTCCCCACGGCATCCCCCTCGACCTTCTGGACAGAGTGATGATCATCCGGACCATGCTGTACACTCCGCAGGAGATGAAGCAGGTGAGTGCCCCCGCTGCTTGCTCCCCACGCCCCCAGTGCTGCACAACGAGGCATCTGCAGGCTGGCCTGGGCTCCTGCACCACCCCAGCACCCAGATGCTGCCATGGCAGGTCTCAGCGCTCCGGAGCCTCGGCCCCCACCTGAACGATGCCTTAGTGTCACAAAACCTCAACTGCCTGTGGTCCTGTTTCTCTTTTACTCTGTCCCTTTTGATAAACTTAAGAAAGGGACAGTGAGAGAATCGACTTGATGACAGCCATTAGGGAGGCCACCAGCTCTAGGAAGTAGGCAGTAATATATCACCTAGTGACAGCCTCCAGCCCAGGCCCCAGCCGCGGCCTTTCTGCCTAGTGGGTGAAGCCAGGCGCTCAGGACCCATGGCAGGTCGGCTCGGGCAGGTTCAGAACCTGGAGTCTCAGCTGAGCCCATCCACTGTAGCAGCACTGCCAGCCGCAGGTCTTCCCGGGGCTTTGGGGGCTCCGCCTGGGGCTGCTGCCGAGGCCATAGAGGTGGTAGTGGGGCAGGGCCGCAAGCTTCGGGGCAATGGAACGGAGGCCATAAAACTAACCTGACAGTCAGAGGCATGAAGGAGGCACACGCAGAAGCATCTAGCTCAGGCCTGACACCGCGTGTGCTCGTCCACATGAGCTTGGGAGCGGGAGATGACGGGTGTGTGAGACTGGCCTTGTCCCAAGGGGCACAGCCCCAGCTCCCCTGCGGAATTGCCTCTTGCTTGACCTGGCGCTGGAACACTGCCCTGCTAGCAACGCCTCAGCACCGTAGCATCCCCAGCCCTTTCTGGTGCTTCCGGGCAGTCGTTTTCCTCTTTGATGGCTGAGTCCCTGAGTGGCAGCAAGTCCAGGACAAAAAGCCAGGCTGTGCCCTGCAGAGCCCAGCCATCTGCTCTGCCCACCCCCGCCCCAGACGGTGTACATCTCTCACTGTGTGGTCAGCGTGTGGCCAAGGCAGCGGACGTGGAGTGGACGTGCACTGACGTGTTGGCGGGCTCTGCCAGACCCTCTCCTTGCCAGAGCACAGGCACTCTTTGTGGGACCTCATCCACAGCTGTTTGATCCCCAGCCACCGTGGGGTGGGGACAACTGTCGTCACTGTTGCTCTTAAAGAGGACACTGAGACTTAGGCTGATTGATTTGCCCACGTTCTTAAAGCTTGCCAGTGGCAGGAATGATGACTGGAATCCAGGTGTCTGATTCTGGAGCCTGTGTTCTTAGTCGCTTTGCCACCAGCCTCCTACCTGCCAGAAATACCTCAGCTAGGGGCGGATCCCCAGTGGCAGTGGGTCGGTGAGCCTCTCCTTTTAGAGCTCTCGTGGGTACTCCCCAGCAGCCCCGTTGCTTGCCCGTGGCCCGTCTGGCTGGCGCTGCTGGCATTTCTCATTGACCAGCACCCAGGAACAATGTGGTAACTCATGGAGCCAGAGGTTCCTGTCCATAACCAGTGTGGAGCCCCGAAGCACTGACGGTGCACGGCGGCAGCTGGTGCCTTACTTAGGGGACGGGGCAGTGGCTGGGCCTTGTCTCCAGATAGTGGGTCCTGGCTGGTGGATGAGTGCTCGGCTGGAGTCAGGGCATTCATCGACTTGGGGCAGGAGCAAGAGCAGAGGAGAACTGGTCCTTTCCGCACCCCAAGCCCCGCCGAGCTTCCTTGCTGAGTGAGCGGGGCAGGTGGGCGCCCTCTGGGCGCCTCAGCCCTTGTTCACTGGAAGGTGTGCTCCCTCCTCTGCCGTGAGGACTGATAAGAGGTGTGGCGAGGACTCGGGGAGGGATGGGGCTGCCATCCCTCCCCCGGCGGCTGCTGCTCCTGCTGTTCAGACAGCTCGGGGGTCCTTGCAGCAGCTCTCAGTAAGCCGCAGAGCTGGGGCCCCGCGCGGAGCCAGTGCCCCTCTGCTGCCTCTGTCCGACCAGAGTGCGCGGGCAGCCCCCTGATGTGGCTGTGCCCCCGGGCCTGGAGGCTCGGCCAGGAGGGCGTCTTCTCAGGCCTTCTCTCGGGTTAGCAGAGGGCAGACCAAGTGCCAGGACGCATATGGCTTTGTTCGTGCAGTGCAGGGGACGACCTCGGCATTTCTCCTGGAGCCCGGGCTAGGTTTTTGAAAAACAAGGCAAATGTAACTTGTGTGCTGTGCCATCAGCACAGGCATACTCGTAAACTATCCCAGCAGGTTATTAAATGATTAAAGATCTAATTTATGAGACTGTCCGTGTCCGAGCAGTCTGAAACAGGAGCTCTTGGGATTGCTCTGGCCTGCTGTGGGGAGAGCGAGAGCAGCGTGCCCCACGCCTGAGGCCGAGCCTCCCGCTCCCCACGGCTCCCTGAGGGAGGCCCGGGGTGAAGGTCTCCCCTGAGCCAGGCTCCAGCGCCGTGTGTTTGCGTCCCCCAGGGGGCGTTTCTCTTGGCTGTCAGCAAGAAGCCCTTTGTATCAGGGACACAGAACTGCTAGCTCCGGCTGTCGTGGCTGGAGCCTCGGCCCCACTGCTCTCCTCACCGTCTATGCAGAAACTTCTCTGCTGGGCTCCACTTCTCTGTGGACCCCAGACGGTGGGCCCCTCACACACCAGCTGAGGTTCTTTGGACAGAGATCACACCTGGCATCCCCTGGCTGACCAGATAAGTGTGATGTGGCCAGTGTGCCGTTTGTGAAATATTTAAACAAGTTGAAACATTTTGCAATCGGGACATTTCATTAAAAACCAGAGTTCTGAGTCTCTCCTGACAAAATGAAAGACCTCCCTGCCAGCACCTGGCCCTCGGCCCTGGCGGCGCTGGCTGCCTGCAGCGGAGGGCCACCTCCCCTGGCGCACGCTGGCCCTGCACCTTGGCCCTGGCCTGCTCGCATCTGCAGGACTTGGTTCCTGTGGGCGGGCCCTTCTCGTTCACAGCAGCCGCCACGCTGAGCCCTTTAACCACGGTCCCCAGACGCCAGCCTCCCTGCCTCTGCGGCTCCTGCCCTCGGGGTCTCCACCTGAGAGCTGGACGCCCGCTGGAAGTGTCCATCTCCTAACCCCCGGTCCCTCTTCCCTGGTGAGGCTGTGGCGAGGGGCTCAGTCTTTCCCACTCCGGTGTCTCTATCCTGGGTGTGTTTTTATAGCTTTAATTTAAACAAGGCTTCTTGATATCTTGTTTACGAAGCTGCCAAAGTGAAAAATTCCTGTATTATGTGCGGCTTGAAGTCCTCGAGTTATCTCAGCTCCACAACACACAGCATCACTGTCCCGCGGCCCCTTATCACTCAGCGCCGCTGCGCCTGCAGGGTCCCGGTGCCACTCGTGTCGGTGTCCCCGCGCCAGCCTGCTTCCCTCCAGCTTCACGAAGGTCTTCAAGCCGCAGCAAGCATCGGCCTCTTCCTGGCAGATTAGATACCTCCAGTGATGCTATGAGGGCTGATAAATCTTTGAAAGTAACTTTTTTGATTTATTTAACCATCGTATTTATCAAGCAAATAAAAAATGTCTTATTGCCTGAGTGCTTATAGGTGGTGGTGCCCACACTGGAGAGGAAGGTTAGCACCCCCGAGGGAGCCCAGACAGGTTTTGGGGGGAATTGCACAGGCAGGGCTGGGGGGCAGGAGCTGTGCCACCCTGGAAGCATGCCTCAGGGGGGACCAGCTGCCTTCTAAAGCTGCACGAAGCCATTCCTGTCGAAGGCGAGTGACACCACCCTGGAGGTGTGCGAGGCTGGCAGTTCCCGTCAGGGTCGGCTCTGCCCCGCCAGCCCAGGTTTGGGCCTCTGTGCTTTTAGGAGGCAGGACAGGGACACTTGAGGTCAGTCGCTTGATCATTTTTTCTCCTTCAAAAGATCATTAAAATCCGAGCCCAGACAGAGGGGATCAACATCAGCGAGGAGGCGTTGAGCCACCTGGGGGAGATCGGGACCAAGACGACTCTGAGGTGAGCTGGCTATGCGCGGACTCGCGTCTGGCACCGTCCCGGGGCACCGGGCCTTGTCCGCTCATACTGGGTGCTGGGTCTTTTCTCGGGGCAAATGCAGAATGTCTGCAGGTGGTGTCGAGAAAGCTGAGCAACAGGCTGCGTCCCCTTGTCCGGTAGCAGATGCCCCCTCTGGTGGATAGAACCAGAGGCCGGGTGCAGGGCAGGCCGCCCACGCCCAGGCCAGGGTCAGAGAGGAGCAGGGATAGAGACGGCACTTCCCTGACTGCTCACCAGCGGCCCTTCTTGGCGTCCTGACTCCGCAGGACATGACGACTTCACAGAGCTCAGCCCGTCCCTGTTTTCCTGCGAGGCAGCTCCTCAGTGCTGAGATCTAAAGCAGAATTGGTGGCTGTTTGGTTGGCGGAAGGTGCCTTCAGAAACTCCTGGGCTTCCGTGCCTTTGGATGGGGCGTGTGCTTTCCAGGGGGCTGTGTGTTCATTTCTCTGCCAGGTCCTGTGTCCTGATCTGGACCCTGGCGTCACTGTCCGCCACTGTAGACATCCAGGTTTGCGCTCCCTTTCCAGTAGTAGTGGAGTGCCTCCTGCCAGAGGACTTCCAGAGGGTGACAGATTGGGGGTGGCGCTCACACCATGTTGGTGACTTCTGGCCCCTCTCTGATGGGGTCACGACTGCCAATCTCTGAGCAGTGACAACTCTGTCCTTGCCTGCTGTGTCTGCAGCGGGGGACACACAGCCCCACTGTCAGTGCTCCTGCTGGTTTGGGGAGGGCACTCATCTGCGGCCCCGCCTCATGCCTGCCCGTCCGCTCCAGGTATTCAGTGCAGCTGCTGACCCCGGCCAACCTGCTGGCCAGGATCAGTGGGAAGGACGGCATCGAGAAGGAGCACGTGGAGGAGATCAGCGAGCTCTTCTACGATGCCAAGTCCTCAGCCAAAGTCCTGGCCGACCAGCAGGATAAGTACATGAAGTGACGACGAGGCCCTCCTCGAGGAGACTCTGGGGGCCCAGCCCCCGTCCGGCCTGCGGCAGCAGTCTCGCCCCCGGGCTGGGCTCTGGCCCTACTCAGACGGGTGGCAGTGTTGTCAGGTCAGCGTGGAAAGGCTTCTGTTTAAATTATTACCATTCTTCTCGTGGCTGCTTTGAAGGAACGCTGTCTCACCTGGTGTGTTTCTAATAAATCTGTTAGGTTATTTTGATGACACCTGTCTCTTTTAATTAAAAAATAAATAAATAAACTTTGTGTTTCAGAACAGCCGGAGTTGTACAGAATTGTGGGGAAGATGGTACAGGGGTCCCTCGCTGTTCACCTCTCACAGCCGTGGCGCGTCTCCCGTGTGACGCCCCCACCCGCGTCCTTGTGCTTTGTGCACACTTCCTCAGTGTCCTTCGTGACTCGCTCTCCTCTCTCTGTCCCCGGATCCATTTGGGGCCCACTTCTCACATTCAGTCGTCACTTCTGTGGTTTCCTTGCTGTGACAGCTGCTCAGACGTTCCTTGTCTTTGACAATCCTGACGGTTTTGAGGGGTGCTGGCCAGGTGCTCCGTCGAATGTGTCTCAGTGGGGCTTGTTTGATCTTTTCTTGTCATTAAACTGGGGCCGGGGTCACTGGGGGAAAGAGCACAGAGGTGAAGGGCCGTTTCTGTCATGTCCTGTCCCGGGGGGACTCCGCCACCGGACTCGTTGCTGTGCTGTTGACCTTGGTCCCCCGGCTGAGGTCATGCTGTCGGGTTCTCTGTCCCCTTTTCCTCACTGTCCTCTTTGGGCGGTGTCAGCACAGCCCTCACTGGGGTATGGGGCATCTGCCCCACCTCCTTGAGGGCTGACTGCCTGCATAGACTGGGATTCTGGCCCGGAGAGTGTTCTTTGGTGCTGACTGTATTCATTCAGTCGTTTACATCAGGGTGGACTCATGGGTTATAACCCAACACGACATTATTTTGTTGCTCAGGTTGTGCCAGCTTTGACCATGGGGAGCCCTTTCCGTTGTCTCCGTCCCCCTGCCGTGCCCCCAGAGCACTGGGACGGCCCCTCTCCATCCGTCCCCGGGGAGTGGGAAGTGGAGCACCCGGCGGACACCGCACTGCACATTCTCACCCGGGAGGATGAGCGCAGCACTCTGCAGCCCTGTGCCGCTGGTGGCAGGGCCCAGGTGCGGAAGCAGTGCGTCTTGGGCAGGGCTCCCTGCTGTTACGTGCGGGGTGGGGGGCAGCCGGGTGGGCAGCTCGATCTGGCTGCTGCCTTCATCCCAGTCGGCCGTGAGGTCCTTTGGGGCAAGCACAGCTCTTTTCCCGTTAGTGACCGTCATCTGAGCATGTGCAGGAGACCAGGCAGGAGGGCTGAGAGTGGGGGTCCATCTGCCCCTGTGGAGGCCCCAGCAAGTCCCTGCTGCCAGAATGGGTCTTTTTCTGTGGTCCTGGCCCCTGAGGGAGAGCCCAGCAGGGTCTTGGGGGTGTGTGTGAGGGAACCAGGCACAGGGAGGGATAAGGGACACTTCCCGAGGCTAGGCTGAGTGCGGTGGCCTGCCCTGGCCACCCATCTCCTCTGAGGCTGAGGCTGTGCCTGTGTGTCTGGCCTTCCGACTTAAGCCACATTGGAACAAAAGGAGAGTGATGCAGCGAGCACTCGTGTGCTTGGGCCTGTGTGATGCTGCACGTTTCCATCCACATTCTCCCAGTAGCCCGATGGGATCGGTGCCGGTCGAGTCACTTCCCAGCTAGTAAGGATGAATCGGGTGGTTGGAGTCTGTGCTCCTAACCCTGTGGCTGGCCCACCTTCCGCAAGGTGCTGGGTTTTTGGAGGGGCCTTCAAGACCTGACCTCTGTGCCGGGCAGGTGAGGCCAGCAGGGTTGGTGTGAGGAGAGTCATACCTTCTCCTCCAGCGCAGGTTGGGCAGGGTTCTTCCCAGCAGCGCAGGGCCCTGACGTGCAGAGCAGTCCTGGTGAGGATGGGCATGTGGTCACGGCCCCCGTTCCTGCTCCTCAGGTGTTCTGGCCTGGGTGGTACCCAGAGAGACGGCCCTCCGTGCTCGTCTGCGCTCTGAGGTGGGGGAGATGGTTCTGGACAGGTAGGAAGGGTGGGTTATTTTAATTTCCCTCCTGTTTTTTTCCAGCAAAGCCTGTGATTATTACATTAATCTTTCAGGAGAAGTTTTTACGACCGATCCCTCGCCGACTATGAGAAGTTTCTCCATCCATTACCAAGAGGGAAACAGACCCTGGTGGGGAGGAAAATATTTGTTACATCTTATCAGGCTGACACACAATCTAACAACAATTACAGCAGCCCCATTTTTCGCACTATTTCAGCTGCGGTGTGAAGAATTGTTGTAATATTAACGTGAGGCAGGGTGGGGGTGGCTGTAGGAATGGCTGATACTCCAAGCTCTGGCCCGGGTTTCTAGGGTGCCTCCCAGCAGGCCATTTGGGTGGAGGAGTGTGTGAATCCCGGCTCCCTGTTCTGCACTACCGGCCGGAATGCATGTGAGGGCTGGGAGGCCTTTTAGAAGATGGGTCCCTCCCCCTCGCTGGGAAGCCACCTTGTCCCCCTCCTCCACTTCTCAGCCCAGATGCCCTCTCACCTCCACACCTCTTAGATGACACCCCCTGGATTAGGTCTTAGGATATTTTGTTTTTTAGGACTAAACAGGTGGTGGTGACTGCTTGGTTAGTGAAACTTTCTCAGCCATTTTTCTAATAAAATGGAACTCCCAGAGGTGGGGGTTGTCGTTCATGTTGGCCTCTTCTCAGACCCCAGGGCCAGCAGGCTTCTGCCAGGAAAGCCACAGACGCTGGTCACCCAGTACTCTTTGGGCCCCACAAGGGCCTGTCCTGGGCCGGCCTCTGGACCAGCATCTGAACCAGCCTGAGCAGCCCTTGGTCTGGAGGGGTCCCGGTCAGAGGCGGCAGGTAGGAGAGAGGGGGCATGAAGGTCCTGGGGGCGTGGCGGGCAGGGGCGTGGTTTAGATTGGGTTTGGCCCTGGATCCTCCGGTCCTTGAGCTTTGGTTTCCTCCTCTAAGATGGGGGCAGTCACACCCCATAGATCCGTGTGGGGACTTGGGGTGACATGTGGCTGCAGCAGGCACTCGAGAGATACTTTCAGTGAAGAGGTCCCAGTCCTTGTCCCTCTTGGAAGAAGAGAAGGTCACACTGTCTAACAGGAGCCAGAGGCCACCAGGATCCCAGACAGCAGGCCCTTGGAGAGGCCTGGAGGCTCCCTGTGGCCGGACCCTTCTGTGTGAGGCCCCGCAGGACGGGCACTGGCTCAGGGCCACACAGGCTCTGGAGCAGAGGGGAGAGAACCCGCACAGGCATGGACCTTTTTCTCTGTGTTCATGGCTTCCGAACCTGATGTGCTGGCCCTCACCGGGCCCGCATCCCCAGTGAGGCCCAGGCAGGGCCAAGGCAGCCAGAGGGGAGAAGTGACTGTCCACTTTGTCCCAGTTCAGTGAGCTCTCCTTTTTGGAGCCTGGGAACAGGCCCACGGAGAGGCAGAACAGGGGCCATCTGGGTCACCTACTCTTCACCCGTCCATTCATCGTCTCACCTCCGTTTACTGGAGACAACAGGCCCCAGGGACGGGCCGGCCTGGGCAGGGTGCCGGGCCGCTCGGGGTCCG